AACTGCAGATCTGAATTAACCTTTCCAGCAGTACATGCATCTGATACAGTCCCATTTGTGCAGGTCTGTGCAAATTCTATCAGTATTACGATGGAATGATACTACGGGACGTAGTCAAGGGCATTGAGTTCGTGCAGGTGAGCTCATTTGTCAGTGTTAAGGAGACCTTGAAGACACTTTTCTGGGCCATCTTCTGCATGAGCCCAGTAGAGTCAGCGGACGTGGTCATTGAGAACCTGTCGGGTCCAGACGAAGGCGAGATTTTGTTCAACAGACATGAGTTCACGGAAGCAGTGGGACACATTTGCTTCGCGGGTGAGTAGCACTCTACAAATATGTTTGTCTATTAGTGTAATAATACATTGTTCCCCTGGGCAAAAAGACCCCGGTACCCATTTGATAGGTGGCTGGTTGGACCCCAGAGCTGGGCTGTATGCAGAGGACAGATCCCCGATCGCGCAGCCGACAGGCAGTCACTATACTGACTGAGCTACCCGGCCTGTAATAAATTGGTTTCCACTCTACAAAATGGACGAGTAAAATAGTTTAGACTCAACAAATCTAAAAGTGATAGTAGCTGCTAAGATGCCAAGACGTCAAAATGATACATTAAGGAATACGAGGTTAAGTGACCATTGCCAATTGTAAGTAATAATAAATACGATTATTTCGGTGTGTTTCTAGCTTTCTCTATGCAGATATCACAGTCTGTAAATTGGTATCTATATACAGTTGGTATGAGACATGAAAGCTTTGAAACTTAAAATTAAACTGCCCCTCACACCACTGCCCGCCGCGCTGAAATCCTTACAGCCGGATGATATCCTCAGTTCTGCTTCGCATTACTCGCTCGTTGACTTACTATCAGTTCAGCCGATTAGAGTACAGGGTTAGTCTAAATAATGTTCCCGATTTCAAAGATATGTTACTCACTTTTAATGAAATTCAGATGCACAAAATTGGTACCGATGGAAAGAGAAACTCTCCAAGTTTTTTTTTCAGTACATCACAGGTGTTCAATGTGAGCCCCCTTGGTAATTCGGCACACATCAAACCTGTAGTCGAGTTCCTCCCAGACACGTTGCAGCATATCATGATCGATTGCTGCAATGGCTGCTGTGATACGCGTTCGCAAATGCAGCCCCCTTTCTTAAATTCGGAATACCACTTACGAATTGTACACCCACTGGGTGGATCTGCCGCAAACTTGGTTTGGAAATGCCGTTGCACACTAATAACAGACTGATGAACGTGGAAATCCAGGACACAAAAAGCTCCCCTGTCTTTGATGGCAGCCATTTTCTCTCATATCGCCCCTGGCGGCGAACAGTGTTACTACGCGGCCGCGAAGTATACCAACATAAACTCGGCGGGTTTCTCTTTCCATCGGTACCAATTTTGTGCATCTGAATTTCATTAAACGTGAGTAACATGTGTTTCAAATCGGGAACATCATTTAGACTAGCCCTGTATTAATCCAGGAGTTAAAATTCCGCCTGCAGCCCCATGTACACGGATTACGCATGGCAAAGATTAAGTTTAGATATTATCTGTCGCCAATACAGTGGAACAGATATTACTGTTTTGTTAATTCTGTTTGGCAGCCGATGTATTAAGCCTCTCCATACCGCGCATTTAACACAAAAACTTAAAAAAAAATATTTTTGTTTTTGCGAATCGTGGTGTTCAGATGTAAAACTTTTTCAGAATACAATTACCAAAATTGAGAGAAAGAGTTACATTTCTCTGACAGTGCATGTACAGCACGTGATTTCCTAGTAGAATATCAAGAATTAAAATGAGGTGTAGAATTTTCAGTAGGGCAGAGATAAACAGGACATTGATGGCCTAATTCAAGTTACTGTCTAAGCCAGGGGTGGCCAACCCAAATAATCTTTCGGGCCACTTTGGAAATGCATCATAACTCCGCGGGCCACATATAAAATTATATATCCCCATATTAGATTTAGATACATAGACATATTTTTGGAGTGAAAAATTGAAACATAATGAGTTATTATTATTGTGTTTACTATTATTCTTACATGTAAACATAGATAATATAATAATAATGATACTAAGCGTACATTGTAAAGAAATATATAGCACTAAAAATTAAATATAAAAAATATATAAATATGAATGAAATAAAAATAATGAAATCATTAAAAAATATTTATTTTACTAGTGCGATATTTGTTTCTCCACTCTTTCACTTAGCTTTTGCAAATCGATCTCAATTTGGGTATTTGCACATCGTAATTGGTGTTGCAGGTTAGCGTCCATTATGTTTGAGCGTGTTTTGTGTTTGGTCAATTTCATTTTCGAAAAAAACGATTCGCAGGTGTAAGTTGAACCAAAACTCATAACTGTAAACTCATGAATAAAACAGGCAATATCTGTCATATATTCGCAAGAATATTATTTTAAAATCAAAGTTAATTTTTTCTCATAATTTCGACAGATAATTTTTGAATATATGGATGCACAAATAATGTATTTTTTTAATACATTGGTTTTCACTACTTTGGCCATTATAAAATAAATATATTTTGTAAAAGTGTGATGAATGTCGCGGGCCGGAAAAATGTTCAAGGCGGGCCACATGCGGCCCGCGGGCCGCGGGGTGGCCACCCCTGGTCTAAGCATTTATCTGAACGCAGTTATGAGTTATAAAACACGAAGAAACCTCTGGGGATGATCGGCCATTGGGACGAGATCTGAAGACGACAGGGGGTTGTGATAACTATGAGCTTAGTTTTCCAGCCTATTATTTCCATCGTCCCTTCTTCCACTCGTTCCCTGCTTATTTGCTGTATGCGCCAATCACTCCGTGTTTCAGGTGTACCTGAGCTACATGAGTCGAAGCAGCTTGCCACCACCTTTTAACCTGATCCCCACCTGCCAAGGTGTGTCCTCCATGTTCGAGTGGTTAGGGGCTTGCTGTAGACCGAAGCCTGGTAAAAGAGCCAAGTTCTCATTTACACACTGCTGCTATATGGTGAGTGGGTATTTTGGTAATTTATTCTTACTTCTAGGTTTTATTGTAATGATACAAGCAATTAAAAGATGAATTAACAAGTATAATCGATATGATGCACCAATAAATCACTGGTGGTCCTTTGAGAATGTATCGTCACATTCACACAGTGAGTGATAGGTATTGTTGGTTTTGTAGATATCTAACAGGTTTGATTAGCTCAGTTACAACTGATCCCTCTCTTTTTTTTAAAAAAAAAAAAAAAACCGAACTCTAATTTAATATCTACTGTCTTCCGTGGCTTGGTACACGATGGCGCCAATTTAATATATGATATATGACGCTTTCGATATTGTGTTGTCCCTCTCATCAGATTAAGTAATCATCTCGGTTGGTAAAGCCTCGAATGTGAAGAAATGCTACCTTAAGATAACTTATCGCTTTGAAAAGCACGTTTTAATTTTCCAGGATAAAGGCAGCCGCAACTTCAAACAAAATCTACGTTATTTTGTTCAGAAGGCAATATTGCTGTCGAATTTTAGTTACGGGTTCCTAAGCATTTAGGGCCGCTCATATTTTCACTGTTTTGGGTTTTGGATCATTCCCCCCCCCCAAAAGAAAACCGGTTCTTTGCGGCCCCTGCGATCGCCTAACTTCACCACATTTACACTTAGTATTGTACGCCTACAGGAAGTCGACACTCCAGTGGACGAGGAACCACCTGCGTCTTTCATGTCTACGCTGTGCAAACGATTCTTGCAGAAGAGGGAGAAGGAAATGAGACAGGAGGCTGAGAAGGAGCTAGAATCGCTGGAGATGAGCAGCTCACAGCGCAGCCAGGTGAGCCATATTTGAACAATTTATAATTTTGTGAAGCTAATCGTTGCTAAGAATTTCCCCAAATTTTATGGACAACGAAGATCACTGCCTTGTTGAGAACAGCTCGTCAGTAGTCGTTATTACCCTTGGCTAGATAAATCCAATTTATACCCTCACGCCATGTCTCCCCAATACATATTTTAATATTATCTTCCCATCAATGTACCTCTTCCGAGTCGTTCTAGCATCATGTGCGTATTTGTCATCTCTCCCATGCACGGCGCACCCCACATCCTTCTTGTCCAATTTGATTTGATAATCCTAATAATATGTTGTGTTTAGTAAAAATTTTGAAGTTACTCATTGTAATGTTTTCTCCATCTCCCTCCCCCCCCATAATTTTATCCCTCTTAGATTTTTTGACACGCCAAAAGCATCATCAATTACGGTCACATGCAATATCATTATTTCATTTGGGATATGCAGCTCCTTCCTTATTAATTTCTCATAAAACTATGTCCTTGCAAGGAGACCTCTATCAGATGTTCTACCCTGTTCACCAGCGTCTGCCTAAGTGAATTTATTGTTTATTCAGCGTCGAATATAACCATTAGTACAATACTGTGATACCCCTTGCAATTGAAATAAAGATAAATGCGATTAGGCGAGACTTATATGCAGTTAGGAAAGTTCTATGTTTGTTGGAAAAATTTAGACATTTTTAGCATTTCTTCTTCATTCTGAGGAAGATATTAAAAAGAAACAGTTGCTTAAGAACGTAAATAAACACTAACGCAAATTTTATTAAAGTGATAATCGCTGTTTTAGGATTTCATTACGAACTCAATGGACAAAAAAGAAACCTCAGTTCGGGGAGGAATCGAGGGTAATATGGAGGTACATAAAACACAAGACATGGTTACAGCAACTGAGGAAGCAGATGAATTATCGATGTACGGCAAGTACATTGTAAATCAACTGCGAGGGTTGAAAGACAAATACGCTCGTACAAATGCTCAAAATTACATTGAAGAAATACTGCACAAAGCAAAGGAGGGGTTTTACGCAGAAAAATAATAAAAGCACTTCGAGGCAACTGCCAGAACCACCTTCTTCTGAGCAAAAACACACGAATTTCTTTGTTTTTTTTTCAACGCTTGACGTCTGCTGCTGCTCGGATTGGACCCTATCTGACAATAGAATTATCGTTTGCCGTTAACAAATCACACCCCTAGAAAAATACTGTCACGACTCAAAAATAATGCTCATTTTTCAAGAGCTTCTTCACAAATCAACAAAATTAAATTAAAATAATGTATTCTTTGAGTTGTAACAGTATTCTTCTAGGGGTGCGAAATATTAATACAATGTGAAACAGGTTCATGACTCTCACTCAAATACAACTTCAGATAATATTAAAATAGTATTTTATTTGAAGATGGCTGTCTTCTGGCTTGTAGCGCTGTGTAGTCTGGCAGAAGTTTACTGACGTTTCAGAGGTCCCTGCTGCCTCCATCAGTTAATAAACTCCTACCAGACTACACGGCGCTACATCCCAGAAAACAAGCCATCTTCGGATTCACCGCCGTTAAAACATCAAATCCTACTATTATAATATTGTACTTTATTTAATGTATTATAAGAAATGTGGAGAATACAATAAAGTAAACATTACAAATGGAATATTAATGTGTTCAGACAAGCCTCTTTAGACTTAAATTTGAATCCACTGGCTTCAAACCATCAAATGTAAGACATTAAGATTTTTAAACCTTATAAAAACAACTGTACATAAAATGAAGTAATGTAATAAGTGTTTTATAATAATTACGACATTAAAAACCCATACCTGAACCTAATCCAGATGTGAGAGCCCTCGAAATTCTGAACAAGTAAAAGCTTCCTATGGAGTCATCAATGGTCACGTATCTCACTTTAACAGCCAAATTATCGCTTGCAGGAATTACCTGTCGAAAACAATTATTTTATCGACAAATAACCAGACGCCATACTTAGGAAATCTTCAAAATCCGTTGGTATCTTGGGAATCATTCTTAAAACCTCTTCTACCTTCGTTAGAACACGACGTAAAACAGAGTGGTGACACGTTCCCGAAAAACCAGACGGTGTACACGCGTTTAATATGTCCGTGGACAGTGTTTACCGGGAAAGTCCCCGGGAACAATACCCCAGACTTGTTCATTCCGGATTTAGCTCACTAAACAAGAGTTAGAGTGGAAATGTATTTAATGTAAGATACCAAGTTTTATACCCATACAAAACAAGTAGAATGAACCTCATTCATATAATGTTTCTTCTTCTTCTTTTATGGCTGAATTTTAATTTTCATCATGAACATTGTTTTGTTTTCTTTGAAATGATCTTTTAGAACGAAATTTATTCAATACGTTCTCACATTTCTCTGTACAGATAAATCGTTTCAATAGCAGAATGATTATTGTTACCCCAGGAATTGTTCACGCTTCATTAATATTACAGAACAAATTAGATTATTTTAAGAATTCTTTTCAGAAAGTGTCAATAATAAAAACGTAAGGTATCTTTCAGTATTTCGAGTCGTCAGGAATGTGGGAGATCTGATGATGGAGGTAACAAGCACGTCTGAAACGTCGGTAAACTTCTATAAGACTGTATGGAACAACATCAGCGGAAATGAAATATGCCTTTCACCTGACCGGATATTTATTAACAATGAATTAGGAAACAAAAGTAGCAGAGAAATGCCCTGAACGTCATCAGAATAGGACGTTTCGAAAACTAGATTCGAAGCCGAGACCTCCGGATGAACTACGATACCATATTGCCTCTATGATACGATGTTCTGTTTAAATTACAAAGGAACGAGAACCCCCCGGGTTACCGACAAAGCGGACGTCTGCGTTCATCTGACAGTTGCCAGAATACGATCCTGTGCGAAGGTTATCTCGCGACACAACACAGAACACTCCGTCCCTGTCAGAACAATCTGACCGCTATCTTAGGTTATTTCTCGGACATCAGTTCAGTTCACTGTTTCGTCCTCTGAGCATTTGTAATGCGCGCTATTATACAAATTTCTTTGCTGTTTCGCGGGGTACGTATTCCGTCCCGTTAGAACTGCCGAGTTCTTGTTCGTGCGAAAGGTGAATGTTAGCAGAGAGACTGCCCAAGATCTCCTCGCGCGGTCTTCTAGTACCGCGCAGCGAGTGCCATTGTCACTATGGCAATCCTCCAGTCTTGCTGTTGCTGGCGTTCAGTGCGTACCGGCAGCTACGCCAGTGCCATCTACACCACGGTGAGTAGTTACCACGTGGTGTTGTAACTGTCAGAAGTAAGCATTTCTCTTTGCATGCTGATTCAAACCCGAGTGAGATTTGAGGTTATAAAGACAGTGAGTGTAAATAAATATGGCTGTCGTCTGGATTGCTGTGTTGTGAATCTGGAAGACGTTTACCGACGTTTCAGAGGTGCTTGCTGCCTCCATCATGAGGGAGATCGCCCTGATACTACTGATCAGATGGATTAATGTTTATATTTGTTTCCAAATGAACAAACAAACAAACAACACATCAAATAAATTTAGAATTTGTTAGTGATTAGTACGAACTTAAATATTACGACACAGAACACCAAGCTGACATTTAAAGATGCGATACGAATGTCTAAAAAGTACAAAAAAAAATTCACTGAATTTCGTGGAATCATTTGTAACGGTTTATATGAAACTCAGTAAAACAACAAATCGAAGATATGAAATAATTGTGGATTTAAAGAGAGAGCAAGTTAAAAAATGCATCGTAACGAAATTAACAAGAATAATCAGGGGTAACACAAAAATATAACTTTTAAAAATACATGACGTTTCAAAGAATTTTGCGCCAGAGTTTTTATAATCATTAAAGTGTAATATGATAAAAATTAGTGCAACACGATGTGAAACAATAAGGAATACACGTTTTGTAGAAATTAATTAAACGGCTGTACTATAATAACTATTGATACAATTAAAATTGGCAACCAAATCATACATCACTGAACTGAGAAACTAGTATTATAGGTGGATTTAATAACGAAGCTTGTGCGCTGTGAGGCCCAAAATTTTCCAGGATGATTCAATAGCACAGAATGTATCAAAATACAAAATACACGAAATAAATATTCGACGCAAGTTATTTCATTCAAGAAAGGTGGCATCCTTGCTCTGTCCATCGAGTTCTCATGCTGTAATATTTTCAGGAAAGACTTTGTCTCCTTCTGAAGACAGAGATTGACTGCATTCATTTTTTGTTACTAAGTGATTCAGTGTCCTTTAAGAACAAAAGTTGAAAAAAAATTGCGCCCACTACTTAGGCCATAACTTCAAAGTTTGTTCTATAGAACGATCTTAAAAGTTTCATAATTCAATCTCCCCAGACCTTTCTCTTCCCCTGCTGCATTAGTCTCTTTTATTGAAAATCGATAAATTCGCCCAAGAATATCAATCTGTGTTCAAACAGTGTTAATGGAAATCCAGCGATCAGGACACAAAGCCCTTCGTGACAGATGGAAATTATTCCACGAAACAAAAACTGCCTCAAATGTTTTCAAGCAACCATCAAAAATACCGCGACGCGAAAATCTATTTAAGATTTAAATTAAGTTTATGAAATTAAATAAGTAGATGTCACTTCGACCTTCTGAAGCCCATGGCTTTGTCATCGTCTCTCCTTTTCCTTCTGACATTCACACTTCCTCTCATTCGCAGGTTTCATCTGGTCATCTACCATCCCGCATTTGTTGAGCCATACCAATTTCCTTTACTCAAATTTTCTTTCATTACTCCCATAACATCCATTCCTCGAATAATAATCTCACTGTGAAGATCACTGTCTTCTGGGATGCTGCGTGGTACAGTCCAGTAGAAATTACCAACATTTCAGAGGTTCCTACTGCCTCCATCATCAGAGCGATGATGAGTCTAAGCAAACACCTCTCAAACATCGGTAAATTTCTACCAGACTACAAGATGAAACGTCCCAGAAGAGTCAATTTTGTGTACTAGTCGGCGTCAGAAACAAATCCCTAAAAGCAATATCAAGGACATTTACCCTGGACCATTTACCAAAGTCGCTAACTTCCGCTCCGTTCGACTCAATAGCCTATATATATATCATTTCTCACGTGTTCTCAGTTAGTTTATCTTACAATGCAATGAATTTACACGTTCACAAAAAGAAATTGTCACATATTTCAGCCTCTAACTTCTCACATCCTTTAATTCTATAATAAAAATTGATAAGGGTTCGGGAAAACGTCTTTTGGTCTCCTGGACAAGTGTTTCTCAACTTCCCACGTACCACGGACTTCGTTTCCAAAATAATTCATACTTCTGAATAAATACAATATCGACTAACTAAAATACAGACAAAAAGTGCAGTTTCTTCTTCGTATTCTTTATCCAAGGCACAACTTGCGGACCCCGAGCTGAGAACCACTGTCCTGGACAGTAACAACGTAATGAGATTGACATTTTGAGAGTATATGTAAATGATACTGGGCCGTTTGCTGGCTTTCAGCTCAAATGGAGAATCCTCTCAGGACGACATCACTTTGCCCTGGGCAGTTCCACAGAAGTACTGCAAATAATCCAAAAACCTTCCCCGAGGCATAGCAAATTACTAGAAACGTGACATAGATCCGCAACTTCGAAACTCAGAGTCAGTTCACGTGCCACATACTGTCAGCAATACGAGAATCTGTTCTGTTAAAATAAATTATGCATCTACATTTATGAACAGAATGTACTCATATCGCCTTCAGACGAAATCAGCCAATTATCGCAACAAACTATTTTTAGGCAACAAATATAAAAGGAAAGATACTCATTCAGAAAATTGTGGGATTAGAGAAAATATGGAGGACATCGGAGTAGATAAAAGGATAATATTAAAATGAATCCAAAATATATACGTGTTGATGGCGTGGATTCGATTAAGATGGATCAGAATTACGTGAACCGGCTGGTTCTTGTAAACCTGAGGGTTGTACAAAGGGCTAAGAATGTTTTAACTAGCTGAGCACAGACACTGAGGAAAATTTTAACGCCGAACTTCATCAATTTCGGATGCATCAAGTACAAAGTTTAACTCTGTCTCATGGACAAATATCCCGTAATATTTACACGGAGAGAAAAAACACAACAGAAATTTACATTAACGTATAACTGTGGCTTTTGTGCAAAAAGGTACTTACGTTGAACAGCAAATACCAGTAGTGCCCGTCTGCTTCGCCCAAGACACCGGCTATTTCCCAGATCCCTGCAAGAAAAATGATGATAGTAAGTTAAAATCGGCTACGACCACTTCGTTATAGATGCACTAAAAAATTAATTATTTAAAATCATACCATTCTACGCTACATGAAGTAAGCAGTTGAGAAAGTGTCATTATATAACCGCAGAATCAATAAAATATCACAATTAAAATAAAAACTCCTAATAACACAAATATAACCAAGAAACTTGCATCGCCCACATCTTAATCCAAAATAAGAGTTCAGAGCTGACAATATATTTCCTATGTATCAGTCGCAAGGGAAATTAAAACCAGGCGGTCCCTAATGAAACTCCATATCCTTCGTGTTCAATGCCATAAACAGGAGTGGGCATTAGAAGTGCGATGATATTTAAGCTGAGGCTCACGTTCGTGGTTGTCCGCAAATGTGGACGGTTTCACGAACCCAAACAGCACGATCAATCTTCTTGGCCGTGTGGTCTAGCGGCTCGCTACAGTGTCGGTAGTGTAGCTGTCTGTACACATCGGCAAGTCACTCCCGAAGTCAATGCCGCAGAAGCGGAGTGAGTAAGTAGTTCGGACGTTCCATCAGGGTTACCAAGAACTGACACGTCGAAAAGTAACGCGGCCTCCCGCATCGCGATGGCTGACTGCATACAAATGGCGGCCAACATATAGCAAAGCTCGGCTCGAGTTTCTTCACCGTGGCACACCTGGTAATTGCTATTTCTGGGTTTCGTAGCAAATTGCAGATATCACGGCCGTGATAGGCGTAGTTGACCACGGTTAAATGGCATTCACAATTTATTAATCAACAGTCAGATGAAACAGTATCAATAAACGCACTCTTACATAACTTAAGTAATCCACGTTTAAGGGGCAAAATGGCTGATTTAACAAAGTGCATCCTGGAATTCCCTCAAATGTATCGCATCGAGTAGAGAGTGAGTGATAATTAAGTAGCGACGTGTGGTTGCGTCTTGTGTTTGGTGAATCAAATAAGACAGTAGTAGCGAAACATTAGAAGAGTTACACAAGCGTGTGTTTTCGTCCTGTCGAAAAAATGAGTGGTAGGTTGCTGGAATAACACAGTAACATCAAATTTTGTGGAAAGTTAGACAAAAGCTGAAATGAAACTTTGCAGATACTACCAGAGGCTTATAATGCTGCTGGTAGAAAAATTCGAGTATTTTTCGAGTGGAATAAAAATGCAACAAAGACACGCAAATCACGAGCCCGAGAGAAGACAGTGATAATTTTTTTTTTAATCACAAGAGCATTGTTCTTTTAAGTTTGTTGAACAAGGTCGAACGATGAACCTGCATTGGTGTTTGGAAATATTGGCAAGGTTACGTGAGGTTGTTCATTCGGAGAAGACCGGAACTTTGTCCTGGTGCTTTGCATCTTGCATCATGACAATAAACCCTGCCAATGACATGTTCGCTGTCCGGATGTTTTTGACCAAAAAATCCATATTTAAATTTGGACGAGATTTGCCCCCCTGTAACAATTTTGGCTATTTCCAAAACTGAAGACCGCTTTGAAGGGCCACAAATTCTCAGATATTACCGATACTCAGGGACATTCGACGACCATCGTAAAGATCATTCCAGAAGAGGTGTTCGAGAAATGTTTTGAGCAGTAGAAACATTATTTATGTCCATAATTTGAATGGTCATTTCATGATACATTTTGAGTACCTAGACAAGCGTCTAAAGCACGGAATCCATTTTATAAATTTAAAGGAAAATTAGTGCATTTTGTCAAGGAGTATGCTATATAGGTTTGAAAAACCTAACTGAGTCCGATAAAGCATTCAAATTCGTATTCACATACTAAATAAAGTACGATGTATAGCATAATATAAGTTTAACTCGCTGCAGTCATTCACTCAGTCAAATAATTATTCACTTATTGCGTAAGGCCAGTGTACAATCTGCATTAAGAACCAGTAATTTTGTGTTTTGTATTTACGGGTTCCGTATGACTCTCAGTGTACACAGCGTTTATTTCCTTAAACCAT